ACACTCTCATTGGTTCCTGCGATAAAACAAACCTACGGCCCTCGGGGGGCCGAAAATTTACGGAAAACCGAAGCTTACCGGCGGCGGTGCTCTCGGGTGCGGCGGCTCTCCGGTGAAGTTCGTGTTTTGGTGATTCAGCTCTGATCAACCTATAGAGAAAAGAATGGTGATCACGGTGATATAAAAATTGTATTAAACGGAGGCCGGGAAGGGCCTCATCGGAGGCAAAAACCGAGAAGGGGCGCGGCGGCGCCGCTGGCTTTCGACCGTGTTTTTCAGCCGTTTGGCCGGGATTTTGGCTCCGATTTGGCCACTGGAGAAATCAGCGTGGAAAAACGAGTCGGGGGTATGAAATTTACCTCGATCAGCGGTCGCAAATCCCTCCGGTGCGGCGGCGGGTGGCGGCGGCCGGCTTCTGGTTCGTCTTCTCCGGCGAGGGCAGGCGGCTAGGGTTTGGGGTCTGGTGTGGGGGTCTTATTTATACCATTTTGCCTTTTGATCTCAGCCGTCCATTTTGTTTTAATCTGGGCCGTCCGTTTTTGATTAAATCTGGGCCGTCCTTGCGATTAAATCTGGGCCGTCCGTGCGCGCGATTGATCTGGGCCGTCCGATCGCGTGCACACGGATCGCCAACGTGGCCCGTCCCCGGTCGACGTGGTTTTGCCACGTGGCAGGTCCTGGTTGGCCAGGACTGCTGACTGAGTCTGCTGACGCGGCTGCTGACGTGGCACGCGCGTTTTTTTTTTTCCTTCAATTTCTCCAATTTCCCCGGGCGCTACAACAAATAAATTAATAAAAATAATAATAATAATAAATTAAAATTTATTGGGCGTTACATCTTAAATATAAAATATATAAAAATAATATTTAAATGTCTCCTCAATCTCTAGGTTTGTCAAATATCTCAATGTATTTGAATTATTCAAAACTTCAAAAACTTGACCGATATAAATTAATTAGAGTTAATTCTTAATTTGTATTATATTAATATTTTATAAAACTTAAGTTTTTAAAAGTATTTATTGGTTTCAAAATTAGACAAAGTTAAGGTTTATATGTGTTTTTAATCAATAATTTAATATTATATCAGTAGTAATTTATATTCGTAATTTGGTATTGGATAGATAATATATAACCATTTATATATAACGAATATTCTGAGTAAAATTAAGCGAACTAAAAATTGAGATATCTTATATATATATAGAATGTTTTTTATGTATATACCAACGATTAGTTTATATTATATGAATAATTTTTTTCTAAAATTTTATTTACTGTAAAATCTAAAAGAAGAAAAATATCTTGAGGTATTAAAGTTTCCTCAATCTCTAGTTTTGACAAATATCTCAATGTATTTGGATTATTCAAAAATTCAAAAACTTGACTAATATAAATTAATTAAAGTTAATTCTTAATTTGTATTATATTAATATTTTATAAAACTTAAATTTTTAAGAGTATTTATTGGTCACAAAATTAGACAATATTAAGTTTTATTTTTATTTTTAATCAATAATTTAATATTATATCACTAATAATTTATATTAGTAATTTATATATAACCGTTGATATATAATGAATAGTCTGAAGAAAATTAAAGGAAGGAAAAACTAAGATTAATTATGTTATAGAAAAAACAAAAGTAGTAAGGTAGAAATAAATATATGAAAAAACTAAATTAAATTAAAATAGTCATGGATATATGTGTATTATTTAATAATTTTATTAATTTTTAATTATATGAATACTTTTTTTTAGTACATTCCTATATTTAATAATTAATTCATATAAATAATTAACTGCAACATAAATAAAATTTAAATTAGAACATATATGTAAATATAATCCGACTCAAAGCTATGACTTCTTGTAGAGGAAGAGACATACCGATTATTTAACTAATGCGATAAATATATTGATTAGAAGTATTTCGATCATTTTGTTTAACTTGTAAAAAAATACTAATAATATTAATTATAAATAATTAATTACATTAACAAAATATTTAATGGTTCATAGTACGGCCTTATTTACTAATGATATAAAAGTAAATAATTAATAATTTTGTTTTATAATTAAAAACTTAGAAGAATAATTAAATATAATTTATACTACTACAATTTTTCAAAGAAAAAGAATATCAATTTTTTTCTTTTAGAATAAAATATATTATTTTGCTTCAAAAAAAATAATAAACAATAAATTTATGTTAACAAGTATAAAAGAAAAATAAAATAAATTTAAGTTTTATTTTATTAACAAATCTATTTTATACATAATCACAGTTTAACTTTTTTGTGCTTTGTTGTTTTTTTTTTCTACAATAAGAGTGTTTCTTTTTTATTTCAATGAAGTTTTTTGGGCTGATTTTTGGAAAATATCTTAATTTTTACTAGTTATATATATGATGTTGATTGTTAATATGTTTATCTACTTCGAAATGTCATTAGAAAAAAAGATAATTTTCACATTTGTCGGTAAATGCTATTTCACGAACATTTGGCAATCTTCATAGCTTTCTTTCTAAATCAAATACTTAATATTCTTGCTTTCATTCATCATTTAAAGACAAATATTGAGGTTGTAGATATTGTCAGTACCAAAATTCGTTCTTAAACTCATAGAAGAATTAGTAGTAAGGTACTTTAAACTATATTGTATTTTGGTACTAGTTTTAAGTTCTCATTACATTTTTTAATAATTATTGATATGCTTCTAATCAATAAAAATATTCAGTTGATGTTTCTTACATAATGTTATATATACTAATAAACAATACAGCAGAAACACTGATTGTATTTTAATTTTGGTTGTCTACTAATATGAGATCTTTTTTTGCTTGTGTTTGCAGGAGAGTTGAGTATTGAAACATGGATTTTGTCAATAGCTCCTAATTTGTTGAAAATAAAAAAGTTGATTTAGCTCCTAATTTAAACGATGCTAAGAATATAACAGCACTAACTATTGAAAATAATATTATGATTCACATGATGCATACCTCAGTTCTTCGCAAGTCAGGTGTAAAATCTTTTGTAGCTAAGAACGAATGGGAAGTTATTAATCTTTTTCTTTCAAGTGCTTCTTTCGATCTTGTTTTCAAATATAATAAGATGTATATCATGAATGAACCTACAGTATTTTTTTATTTTTATCTTTAATAATTTATATATATTATGTGCAATATCTCATATTTTATTTATATACATATATTGAATAAGCATCAACTACCAAAAAATTCTATGCTTTTATATAATGTAATTACTTGAATTTAACTAAAAATATATGCGTAAGCAAATTATAATTGGTGCATTAATTTTACTCTTAAGATTAAATGATAACGAAAAAATATAAATATTTATATTTTTTTGTTTTACTCTTTGAACAAAAAATATATATAATTAAAACAATAATTGTGTCAAATATACTAAATATTACGGTTAGTAAAACTATCTTTTATGTTATATTTATTTTTTTTTTAAATTTAATAAATGAACTTATACATCAGTTTTAAAACTACTAGGCAAAGACATTGATAGTGCAAAAGATGATGATACCTCTATTGAATCTCATAAACCTATTACCTTATTGTCTATGGAAAATAAATAAATAATCTGTGATTTAATTTTTATGTATATTAAACTACTTAATCCAAACGAAAACGAAGAGTTTGATTACTTATTTATAAGTATTGTCTATTTAAATAATATAATATTTAATAATTTAAGTA